ACTAATTTAACTAACCTTTAATTTATTTGTATGTGTCAGAATTGGTTGCCAAGAAGGGTGATGAGTGTGTCGCGAGTAGCCGGAATAGTGCAGGCCTTGGAAGGGTGGAACTCCAACGAATGTGGTGATAAGACCTTCGACATAGACAAAGTTTGGGAAGCTTCCCTTCGACATGGATTTCGCCCATAGCTTAAATTATTTCAATAAATAAATAAATTGTATTTTAATCATTTATGCATGCCTACTCATATTAGTTAATTATATTTAATTTGCTCTTATGTAAGTATGACGATCTCTACTTAGCTAGCTAGCTATGGGGTCTAATTGTTGTTTAAAATCTATACATAAACTATAAAAGAAGAAATAACAACAAATCTGTTGTATGCACATTGGGATAGGATACTCCGTAACTTATTGTCTACTTTTGTTTTAAGATGATTGAGTAGTGTACATTATTATGTATCATATCGATTGTATGCATCTTTCAATATCATATCAAGACAATACTAAATAAAACAAGGATATCGTTGAGCCAGGAACAACCCACATGTGAGCATTCTCTTATCTCACACTAAAACACTTAAGGGGGAGTGTAGTGGTAATAGAATCCCACATTAAAAGAATTCAAAAGTTTCCACCACAATATAATGCAATGGGCTACTCTCCTTATTGTCATATGGTTTTAAGGTGGAACCTCCTTAGTGTTGTAAAGCGGTGGACTTGCACTCTTCCGCGATGGGGTGTGGCCCAAGGATTATAATCAGACTTAACCTATCTTTTTTTTTTCTCGATCTATATTTTGTGGGCTAGACTCTTGAAAACCAACTTTGATACATACATCAAAGTGGTATAGTTTCTATGTTATGTACGTATAAAGTAGACATGTAGTTATATATAGATACAAGTATTAGACAACAATATATATATAGTACTAGTATCTACTCCGTATCTATTAACCCATAGATATTTAAAGGGGGCCGAACCGGCCCCTTGCCAGGCCAGCAAAAGTCTGTCATTAGGCTTAGAGGTATAGTACTAGTACACCCCACTTTTAATTGAAGAGACGAAAATGTGTCCCTAACAATTCATTTTTGTGGGGTTTATGATAGTAAATCTTCAACTTGAAGAAAATAGCGACGTAGTCCTGAAAGTATGTGTGTCTAATTTGCAACATGCATGTTTGATTAGCTCATAATGTCCTCGCTAATTCGGGAAACAGAAATTATTACTGGATTTGGAAATTCGATATTTTCCTCCTCTCTTTCCCTAAACAATACTTTTTTTTTGTTCATGCCATCCTCTACCAAAGGCACATTATTTGTTTTAACCCTAAATAATTGCCTACTTAATTACAAACAAGGTAGGAGACACACGCAAAATTGCGTGTGCAATGTAAGAAATCTATATGGCTCCATTCCTTTTTTTTTCCGAAATATTATATACCTTTTTTTTTGCAATAAAAACAATATATTATATACCTAATTCTAATTAAAAATAAATAAAATTAGTGACTTTATAAATTGATGAAATCATGGATATGACTTCCCTAAAAAAATATAAAAAATAAAATGAAAAGTTAGCTTTTAACTTTTTAATAAAGAATGGTAGTTTTTTTTTGTTTTTTTTTATTTTTATTGATGGTAGTTATTTACTTATTTTAAAAGAAATGTAGGTAGTTTTTCTTTTTTAAAAAAAAATTAAAATAAAAGATGAGAGGGGTATTTTGGAAAAGAAAAATTTATCACCCAAAACCCCCTTTCACTTTATATATTACTATAGATTAAGGCAATATGGTATTATAGGTTGGTTAAACAATGGCTCGATTGACTTAAAATCAATATTTGATATTTATATCATTTGCGACCCCATGACAATCCAAACATAACTTACACCTAAAATCTTGGCTCAACCCCCTTTTTAATAAAGGACACTTAAAGGACTATAACCAAATTCCAAAAATCATCATATCATTGAAGATGACAATCTCGTAGTTATCAACACAGTAAAAGCCCTTGAACCCCCAGCAAAAATGAAAACTTGTCATTATCAATAGATCGATAGAGGCAATTAAATTTAGAAGACCTTATCCATCGTCTTCTATGTATATATATAGATCATGTAATAGCCAACTACTCGTGACTCGTCGATTATTTATTTATAGTGATAAAATGAATCGGGTAATTCATTCAAGAGAAGGGCCTCCTCATGTAAATATTTTTTTCTTATTTATCATTTAAGGTGTTATAGATATTAATACATGTACAAGTGCAACATAAAGTCTAAGAAAATGGCCGGTGAGCATTAGGTCCCAATCAAATAGTTACCTTTTATGAATTTATGTCCCTATTTATTCTAATTATTATTGCCTTTTATATGTATCACCTAATTATCTACGTGGGGTTACATGCATGGCCAGCTATGAAGACAATAAATTATCATGCAGTACTACGTACTAATCAATAACTTTAATGTATGGCTATTTACTTAATGCAAACAAAAAATATACACTTTCGGTTAAAATTTTATTTGCTTATGTACTCCCTAGAAAATAAACATTTATCAACATATATCAGAGATCTAAAATGTAATTTATAGCTGAGCCAAAAATTTAGACTTAGCTTTGGCTCATTAAGTCATTTAATCATCGATAAGACAAGCTAAGTTATATACTTCGTATATATGTTTGTAATTTGTTTCAAACTCGTTCAAAAATAAAAAGCTCAAACTTCAATTCCATTCTTCAGTCTTCATTATGATCTTTTGCTACTATCACTAGCATGACGATATTGTATGTACATGAACTCGATCTAACCCAAACTTGAGTTATATATTGAATGAAACCATAGATTATTGAAGTACGTACTGCAAATATCTAAAAGCTCATCTCTTAACAGAAATTTTTTTAGGTACGGCCAAATATATAGGTGATAATAATCTGAATCATATTATACATATGCTCTGCTAGTTTCATACACATGTCTAAATAACCCAATTAAGAGTCAATTAGCTGTTTGTTTACAGTTTGTGCTTTATTTCAAGTATAATAACATGTATTAATTTCATAATTTGTGGTAGTTATAACAAATAAATATCGTACAAGTAGACATATACATGATATACAAGTGTACAATACTTAGTGCCTACCACTATGCTGTGGTCCAAAATACACGTGGATAGCAATTACAGCATCATGTATTAATATTTTACCTGTTTTTATTAAATTTTTGCTTCGAAGATATCCTTATTATCATTTATTTTCGATCATTTAAGTTATAATTATACTCAATTACTATCGATACAACAAATATCGGTTCTAGATATCAAATCTAAGCATAATTATTGGAAGGAATTAAGAGACCATCCAATTTCCATGTGGGATATTTATATCTTTTTAAAGAAAAAGACAAAGGTTTGTTTAAGAGTTTAATTTGGTTGCGTATAGAGGTCAATAAGGAAACAAAAGTGTTCCATCCGTTTGTTTTTGTTTGAGATATTTATAACAAATCAAAACGATTATTATAATTAAAACATATTTTTGTGACATCTCGTTAAATTTGTGTTTATAAATATGTAATTTTTTTGTAATATATAGTTTGAGATATTTGTATTATTATAATGTTGTATTGAAAATCATGCAAAAAGCCAAAAAAAAAAAATCAAATAGAATAGTATAACTAGAATATAGTGAAAGAGTCTTTAAAAAAAAATTGGAATATAGTGAAAGAGGGTAACATGTAAAAAAAACTTACTTTAACAAACGAAATAACAATCGTTAAAACAAAAAAGAAAAGTAAGAGTAGTCGAAAAGTTCTTTGAAATAAACCTAGAATCTAAGGTTCAAAATCGAATTGGAACAAAATCGATTAGAATGAATGGATGATTGGAATCACAGCACATATAGTTTTATGTAGTGAGGATCGGACCCAAAAAATTTTCCAGCAGTGTGCCTTTGGTTCAGGTTTGTCATTAGATATCTTGGGATTTTTTTATTAGTACTAAAGTATCTTTTAATGTGATATCATCCTATACTCAGCATAAAAGCCAATTATGTTATTAAAAAAAAATATAACATATTCAAGTTAAATATTTTACAAGGAAACTGAGTATAATAAATGCATAACTTAAAGGTGTTAAAACTTAACTAATACCTACTCGTTAAAAATTTTACAGTAGTCATTTGAAATATGACTATCATAATGTTTTCATGATTATAAAGTTTATAATTGATATATTTTTTTTTCCAGGTAATTAATTATTTTACTTAATTTTAGGTATAAAATAGTATTATCAACATTTTTTTCGATTTATCAAATTTTTAGTAACATTTATGTAATTTTTATTCTTATTTTATAGTTTCTCGAAAAAAAATTATTATATATTGGATTAAAATTTTCAATAAATATGTATGCATAGTAGATATAATAAGACTAATTGTGACCATTTTATAAGGTGAAAAAAATAAACCAATCATATTGTATACTATTAAAATAATATGGTAGTCATTTTCAAACGACTACTGTAAAATCATCCACCTACTCGTATTGTTTAATGAAACCGAGTCATTAGCCTAAATGGGAATTTTAATTTTGACTTCACTTGATTTTTACATATTTTTTCTTATGTGAACTTATTAAATATTATTAAAACTTGTTTTAACTGTAATGTGAACTTGGATATGTAACCCTCATAAAAACTTATCTTTTTGTGAATTAAATTCATTATAACTAAACCGACCTCATAATTAATTAAATAAATGAAAATAAGGCAAGCAATCAAATAGAATCTTACCGTCTTTCTAAAAAAAATAGAATATACTTTTACCGCCGAATTTTCTAATAATGAAATTATTTTGAAAGACGAAAAATATCAAAGCGGAATTTCTCATTTAGTACGGTACGATCAAAATTTTGCACACCCTTACCTGCCCAATTTACTCATATCAAGACTAAAGGCCAATAACTTTGCCTATCTCTATATATAGCTAGTGCTCTTGTACGTGCTAGTATCATCTATACATGCATCGTGCCTTATTATCATTATTTATAACGACTAATATTGTCGTCTAAAGTAATAAAGTGTGTATTTTATTGAGAGAAAAATAGTATGGCTTATACTCCTGGTTTTCTTACGCACTGGCCGTGGGAGCCTCTTGGCAACTTCAAGGTTTCTCTCTTTAACTAGTTTCGATCTCCCTCCATTATTCTAATTGTAAATTAAATACTTGATTAATTGCATTAATATGGCATATATATTTTGTATCACTTGTATATACTACCTCCGTTACAGGTTATGTGCAACGATTTGACATCAAGCAGAGAGGAAAAATGTCTAATCGTTGCACATAATCTGTAACGGAGGTAGTATATGTCTATTGCTAGCTAAGGTTATCTTGCATGAATTTGCATGCTACTGTTGAAACAATAATAATGTCATTATGAAAAAATTATTTGTTGCTTGCTTGTATATATATATTGTTTATGTTTATGTTTTCGAGTCTTGTATTGTCAATTTGTCGATGGAGGTAATCCGTAGAGAGAATTTTTGTTCTCTTCATTAACATAAAGTTGTACCTAATATGACATGTTTATCTTTGTGACGCAGAGAGTATATCTATTTAATTTGGGTGAAAATGACCCCTCTCCTAGTCTTAAGATTCATTTTTTTCTTGTGCATTAACAAATGATAAGTATCTTTTTGGAATGTAGTCTAATTTAACCTTAGCCAGATTAATTATGTTGTTGCTTGGTTACTAACACATAATGTTGTTTTTTGTGTTATGAAGTATATATTAGTGGCACCAGGTGTGATTCACAGCATATACTTGTATGTAGTAAAATCAGAGGATAGAAGCCTCTTTTACCTTATCATCTTCCCATTTATGCTGTGGAGGATGCTTCACAATCAGATATGGATCAGTTTGTCACGTTATCGAACAGCTAAAGGCAAGAACCTTATTATCGATAGGAGCCTCGACTTTGAACAAGTAGACAGGGAAAGAAATTGGTAAGTATCATTAACGAACAACCTTAATTAACTCGATCGATCACCATGCTATTTATTCTTGAGTTTGCCTATGGCCGGGCTAGCTTAGTTCCATTCATCGAAATATTTCAAAAAATTGATTTAATCTCTTATGGTACAAGAATGATATTTACTAAAAAAAAACTTAGTAGGGTTAAATGGTTACGTTGCAACTATCCTAATCAGCTAGGCCATATACATTTCAATCAATTTCCGAAATTGAGTACTTATTTCATTAGATTAAATAAGATTAAACAAACAAAATAAAACGATTTAACAAATTAAATAACACTTTCCTACATTAATTAGCTAATCTTGAATGATGAAATCGTTCAATTTATCAGGGATGACCAAATTCTGCTAAATTGGATCATATTTTACGTAGTATTTTGGACTTGGGATGCGGTAAAGCAACCTCCTTTCTGGAGAATGGATGGCCTAATTCAAATGTTCTTACTTCATACTGGTCCTGTGGAATTCCTCTACTACTGGCTACACCGAGCATTGCACCATCACTTCCTCTACTCGCGCTACCACTCCCATCACCATTCCTCCGTAGTGACTGAGCCCATTACATGTAAGTTCGTTACATATGCAAATATACTATGCCTCAAATAATAATTATCATGCTAAATATAATGTGCCATTTCTCTATATGTATGTTGCATCTATATATATATATATGATACCTTTTAATTTCGATTTTATTTTATTTGTTTTTGCAGCGGTCATTCATCCCTTTGCTGAGCACGTAGCATACTTCACTCTTTTTTCCATACCATTGCTAACGGCATCATTCACTCGAACTCACTCGATGGTTGCCGCGGGTGTCTATATAACTTACATCGATGTCATGAACAACTTGGGTCATTGCAACTTCGAGATCATTCCTAAATCGGTGTTTACCATATTTCCTCCTCTCAAATATCTCATGTACACTCCCTCGTAAGTACGGTGTATATCTCAACTCTATCGATATAGCTTCTCGATGAGTAGTCTATCTAATCTTAAACATTGCTTAATTTCACTTAAATCTTCATTTCGAGACCTAATTTTATGATGCTTATTGCAATAGGTATCACTCTTTGCATCACACCCATTTCAAGACGAATTACTCTCTTTTTATGCCGTTCTATGACTACCTCTACGGAACAATGGACGAGTCCACGGATTCTGTTTACGAAACGTCTCTAAATAAGCCGGAAGATGTTCCTAATGTTGTCCACCTTACACACCTAACAACACTGCAGTCAGTTTACCAATTAGGGCTAGGATTTGCCTCCGTTGCATCAAGGCCACTTAACTCAAATTGGTACTTGTGGCTCATGTGGCCTGTCACATTGTGGTCCTTATTCGTCACATGGGTCCATGGCCGGACATTTATCGTTGAAAGGAACACCTTCAAAGAGCTCAAATCACAGTCTTGGGCTGTACCGCGGTACAAAAAACAAGTAAGTTCTTAAATTAGGAACATAAATTAAATTTCGCCTCAGCCATCAGCTTAACCTTTTGGTTAATTAACATATTTAATGTATGTAACAGTATCAATTACAATGGCAACGAGAAGCAATAAACAATTTGATTGAAGAAGCCATACTAGAAGCCGATAATAAGGGAATCAAAGTAGTGAGCCTTGGACTCTTAAACCAGGTAAGTCATGATTATTATCTAAAACATTAAATCAATTTGATTTTTGAGATCGAGCTAGTTTTAACTTCCCCATTTCTTCAGGGAGAGTTCTTAAATAAAAACGGAGAACTATACTTGGAAAGGCACCCTAAGCTTAAAGTGAAAGTGGTAGACGGTAGCAGCTTGGCTGTCGCGGTGGTGCTTAATAGCATCCCTAAGGGAACTTCCAAGGTTCTCTTTAGAGGTAGCCTCTCTAAGGTTGCTTATTACATTGTATCCGCGCTATGTGACAAGGGCATCAAGGTAATGTTCCGATCTGGCCGGCTTGTTTAGGATCGATCTTCTTAGCTTTATTTCCCCTATGTTAAGCTTTTACAACCATGCTTCTTACATCTTATATTCAGGTAGCCACCTTAAGGAAGGATGAACATGAGATGCTTAAGGCGAAATTTGATCTACTGAATGAAGATAGCACCAATTTGATCTTTTCATCATCAAAGAGTTGCAAAAACTATAAGGTAGATTTTGGATCTTAGATTCTATTGTATGTATACTTTGTACATATCGTATGTTACATAAATTTAGAATTATAGAGATGAATTAAGATGTCTCACATTATTTCTTTTCCTAGAGTAATCCATAAATCATAAGATGATCAAAAGAATATATTTATGAATAATACAAAAATCCAAATGTTAAATTATTTATTAAATGGGGAAATTAAAGAATTTATTTGATAAGCTACCACTAGACATGGTTATCAAACATTGCAAACCCAATGAATATTGGGAAATTACCTGGTGATGGGGCATTTTCGTGAACAAATCAACAACTTTTTCATTATTGTGGGCTCTACAGTTGAATAAAGTTGTTGGTTTATTTACGAAAATGTCATGTGAGAAACAAAATTTGATTTATACTCATTTATATATTCTTGTTCGTTGTTGTTTCTTTTCTTGCCAATTTAATGACTAGTCCATTATTAACCCGCAATTAACCAGCAACCAAATTTGATCCGACCCTTTACAACCCGACCCACCAATAACACCGACACCGACTCGACCCCTTCAAAAGTCAGGCCTAGTCGAACTATTAGCCTATTACATCATAAGATTAGATATTAGTTGTAAAATGACCAAACATTCATAACTGATGTTAACTTGACATCACCCTTTAATTGTGAAATAATTCTAATTGGAAGAATGTATTAATTGCACCTTTTTTATACAGGTATGGTTAGTTGGAGGAGATTTGACGAAAAATGAGCAATCTATGGCATCGAAAGGAACACTATTTATTCCTTTCTCGCAATTTCCACCCAACAAAACTAGGAAAGATTGTTTCTATTTGACTGCTCCGGCTTTGTTGGCTCCCAAATCTTTTGGTAACTTGCATTCTTGTGAGGTTCGTTGCACAAAATCTATCGCAATTTTTTGTTAATTTATTGATGTACTTACATCCGCTACATTCTCTAACTAAAATACTTTCTTTGTGTGTGTTAGAATTGGTTGCCAAGAAGGGTGATGAGTGCATCGCGAGTAGCCGGAATAGTACATGGTTTAGAAGGGTGGAACGCTAGCGAATGTGGTGATAAAATTTTCGACCTAGACAAAGTTTGGGAAGCATCCCTTCGACATGGATTTCGACCTTTTCTAAGTTGTAATTAGTTAGATAAGCTCGTACAATGTTAAACGGTTCTTCATTCGTTTTGGTTGCAACGTTTTTCTTTTTTTGGAAAGTTTTAAAATACCACAGTACTCGTATGTATTTGCAACATTACTTTATTTGTTTAATCGGTCTCTCTATTTCTCTTCTCATCACAAAGATATTTTATGTTACTTTTTTTTATCTCCTTTTTATAAATTGTACATTTCTCACATTTCCATTAAAAGTGAATACAGAAACCTAAACAAAAGACTTTACAATAGGCCATGTACCTAGTTATGAAATATGATTCTCATTTTTTTAACCAATATTCGTGGCACTAATATGTTATGAACTATCAACAAATAATTTGTAAAACTTTATAAATTACTTTGGTTTTATTTGTTAACATATCTAGATCTATTTATGTATTGTATAATGGTAAGTAAAATAGGGAACGCGAAGACCCTCCTCATGAGGGGGAAACCTTATGCATAAAGAATTTCACGTAATCAATATACGTAATATGTATTGTGTCATTTGAAGCCGTAGTTGGAAATGATATTCCATAAAAAAAAACCTAGCTAGGTTTAAAAGTGAGCACTTGCCTACAACTTCGGGCCTGTTCTGATACGATTATTTTTAGTTTAGTTCAATTTAGCTCCTAATTTCCAACTCTTATAAAATATTCAATTTAGTTCAGTTCAACTCTAATCAGTTCAGTTCAGTTCAGTCAATGTGAACATGCCCTTCATCCATCCATGAGCTATTGAGCTCGTGCGGGTGATATATTATGTATCATTCGTGTATGTCACAATAATATATGCATCAAGTTCAATTAGAGTAAGTTGCTAGAATCTAGCCAGGCTTGAATTCGTTTTGACATTATTCATGCGCATAGCATGATTATTACTACTCGTACTATTATCTACCTTGTCTTGCGTCGCATCAATGATCGTAATCTCTTGTGTTTTATCACTCGTACGTCACATAGTTGCTGTGCCGTGAACAAATTAGAAAGGTTTATATAATTGTATCTAGACAAGATTGTGAGCGTGTAGTAAATTGTTAACTCCTATATCATCTATTTGTTAATTATTGTTACCTTTCTTTGTCTAACCATTTAAGATTAGTTTTTGTCATTTTGTTAGGATTAGTTTCCGATTTATATTTATTACTCCGTACTTCTTATTTATTGAACATCATTTTTGACAATGCAACATGCATACGAAACCTTCTTTATACTTAAATGTATTCACAAAATTTTAGAAATTTTTATAACATTCCAACATTTTAAATTATTGTACAAGCATATTATATTATTATATATAAGGAGCCCAATAATATAATACAAATATAGATATAGATATAATTAAATAACCCCGTTTACGAATTTGATTTTGTACCAATTATCAGAACAAAATTATCTAATCAGAAGAAGCTATCACTGCTTTGCATATGCAAAGAAGTGAAAGGACCATGCATGTAGAAGATCGATGTTTATGCTTATAATTAAATTTACATAATCAAAGCCAATTGGTCTTGTATGGACCCGATCTACAATAAATTATTGTAGACCTAAAATTTGACACTTTCAAATAATATTATCACATTATGGATGGTATAATCACTTTTTTAGACGATATAATTATTCTTTTGTGAGTCATATTTTGAATTATATAATCTCATATTAAATCATTTAATGAGATTATATAATAATCTTTAGGATGATAAAATTTAAAAATCATCTTTTGAATGATGTAATTAACTATTTGATACTTTTTATAACGATAAATTTATTTTTTGAGTGATACATTTACGTATCAGTTTCAGGATGATATAATCACTTTTGTAGTAATATAATCACATTTTGTATGATATAATCACATTCGTATGGTATACTAGAAGGTTGGGTCTACAATAAGTTATTGTAGACCGGGTCTATTCTAGTCTTTATAAATCAAAGCATCAAGCTCAGTCTAATTTTCTTACTAACAAGACAACATGGTTTATGCTTATAATTATATTTACATAATAATATAGTCGAAGATCAATTGTACTAAGAGAGTACGTGAGAAATAGTTTAAGTGGTTAGAGCTTCCCTCCCAACTCCAGGAAATCCTAGGATCGATTCTCACCCCGCCCTTCTAAACACCAAAATAAAACTAAGTGATTATACCAAAATAAACTACATACAAGATTACATGTTAAATTCAAACCGCCATAATTAAACTCCATATGCAATATTGTCTTGGGCCGAACCGACAGATTTTGGTCAATTGGTAGTTGGTAATCATGCATTTTGCACAACAATTTGACAATTTGAGATAGTGGGATTGGTTTTTTAGAACTTTTAAAGTTTGCATCAAAATATAGTTTAATTTAACGTCGGCATACTAAGAAATTAAGTTATATGTTATTGTCCAAATTTATGTAACATTACAACTTTTTCTAAAACTAGTAACATCATGATGCGATTAATAAATCAAGGCGGTAGGAATTCTATAGTTTAATACTCTATGCACTTTAAAATTTAGGGTCTGTTCTCATTGACTGAAATGAGCTTAGCTGAATTAAAATGAATATTTTATAAGAGAAGGAAATTAGGAATTGAACTGAACTTAACTTAACTTATTAGAGACTTTAGAGCCGAACTGAAGTGAACTGAACTTATTAGAGCTAAACTGAACTGAACTAAAAATAATCGAATGAGAACACGCCCTTACTCCGTCTTTAATCATCAATATCTTTTAAAAAAAAATTCACAGATAGTTTAGGTTTAAGTAAGCTGAGCTTTACGCATCATGTAAAAGTAGGGTTGAAAAATCAGTGCAAAGTAAACATTGTTTTGAATAGAGTTAGATGATACGAGTATGTAGCAAATTGGTAATTGGCGATTAACGTTAACGGCCAGCAACATCAGATTAGATAGATATAGATCGACCCTCTTTTATTGTAGTGTACTACTAGTGTATAAATATATATTATTCTAAAAATTAAAAAAAAAATAAAAAAATAAAAAAACTACCAAGTATATCATAATTGGTGAAAATTATTACATCGTTGAAAAAGTATATTCAGATGAAGTTAAATAAACCAAGATTACAGAATATCATTCAATTCAATGATAGGGGATATCTATAAATATCATCATATCATATCATATCATATCATCACATAACTAATATATAAAGGTAAACTTTTTGCCAAAAAATATGCAAGCAAGGGAAATTGAACCCTTAACCTCCAAATCTATGCAACTAGTAACTATCCAACTAAGCCTACTATAAAACTTGAATATTTATACAAGTTTTTTTAATTTATATAATATTGATAAGTGTTTTATTTGTCCACTTATCATGGCATTTTTAACACAATTTTGTTGTCATTTTCCCCTCTTTAATCCCTTTTTCTAACTCCTCTTGTGCTAATTTGCATCTTTTGGCTTCCCCGTTTCTTTTTATGTGTGTGCTCGTGCTTGTAGGTACAATGAAAAATGGGCTAAATAGCATAAGCATGAAGAAATACTCTTTGGAAGCAAAGGAAAGCAGGAGCGGGCGTGCACCTAATAAGGAGCGGGCGCTCTTACCTGAACTGCCACATTCTGCCTCCCCCTGCACATATAGGAGCGGGCGTGCAGCCTTCAAGGAGCGAGCGCTCCTCCCTGTTTTCCTACATTCTGCCCCAAACTGCTGCAAGTGGAGAGGGCATGCAGAGAGCCCAGGAGCGGGCGCTCCACACAGAGGAGCGGGCGCTCCTACTTACTGGAGCGGGCACTCCTCCTGTTCTGAAGCCCGACTTTTTGGGCGGATTTTACGATGTGATTTCGGGGTGTATAAATACGACCCTTGGCTTCAGTTTTCTGCATCTTCTTCCTTGGAGAAGATCATCTTCTTTCCCTTTTAGTTTTCTTAGGCCCTTAGTTTCTCTCAACCCTCATTAATTAGCTTAGATCTTCTCAAACTCAATCATTGTAGTAGATTAATTGAAGATTGTTCTCTTGAATTCAACAATTTCTCAACTTTGAAGCATTTTAAGTAATCTCTTTCTTCTATCTCTTACTCTTTAATTTCAGTTTTTATTTACTTTGAATTGTTAATTCCTCTCTTAATCTTGCTTAATTGTTGTTGCATGTCCAGTCTACCTTATTCCTACTACTCCTCTCAACTTGTTAGTTTAATGTTTGAATTGGAACTTGTTATTTTGATGTCCTTCACCATGTTTAGTGAGTAGTTAATTAGCTAGGGGTTGGGTGAAGACCCAACCAAGCCATGGGTTAATTGATGTATGTGCTTGCATGTTCATTTTGGGTTGATGATTGATTGTTAAAGAATTGGTAAATTGCATGTGTAATTGGATGGCCACTTATTGCTCATGTATTCACTTTTATGCTTGCATTGAGAGATGGAGTCTAGTTGTGAGCCTTTTCTTATATGATTATGCTAAATTCCTCTTGATTATGGTTCCTTGTTGAATGATGTGGTAGTATTAGTTGCAACAATTAGGTGAGAAATCCCAATTGCTTGTGCCTTAATGCTTTCTTGGACCGATCGAAAGACAAACCCGAGTTAGTAGTCTACTTCTCATTGTTAAGACTTGGTTGGCCTATCTTGTTAGTTGAGTTTGGTTTAGGAATGCTTAGTGTTGTGGCTTCGAAAGAAGGCAATGTTGAGTGCCCTCTCTATCACCCAATTTGTGTTCATGCTTGCCTATTGTTTTGATCCGTTGGTTTGGTTGGAGTCGATCCCTATTTCCCCCTAGTGTTTGTCTCCATAGTAGTTACCTAATCAAAACCCCCAATTTGTGACCGAACTAGGTTGCAACCGTTTCATACTCTCGGTGTACTTACCCATTCCCTGTGGATACGATCCTCTACTTACCCTAGACTTGTCTTAGGTTGGTTTAGGTAGAATTTTTGTTTGGTTTTAGGGTGATTGTCCAACGACCGATTATTTCCTCCACCAAATATCAAAATTTGGGCATTGGGGGGGCCAAGGCCCGGGTAGGCTTCCCCTTGGATCCGCCTATGAAGTACGTAGTACAAAAGTTAGGTTATTGCATATTTTATAATGAATTTTGATAATGTTCAGATTAATAATATTTAGGGATTTTATCATTGGTACCCTCAAAGATTTGACTTTTATCAATGGTGCACCTCATTAAGTTTTCATTA